AGAACGAGCTGTGTTAGAGCGGCAATTAAGTGCAGGTCATATGTTTTGCCAATCGCTTCGCGCTGAGTCCCATTTTCCGAGGTGCAACGCTCAATCTATCAAATCAAGCATGACTCTTTCATATTTTATGCCCTCGACCCCTCGCTCGGTCGAGCAGTCATTTGTTTAATAACGTCCTTCATATTTACGGCACACTTTGAATTTAATTCCTACACGGTGTGTGCGATGCAGACTGACGGTAACCAAAACTCCAGTTCTGGCGTAAGCCCGGAGGATTATGAAATTGCGGACCTCCTTCTCCAGACTGTCGATGCCAAAATTTCCAAATCAAAGGAGCTGCGAAAATACGTGCTTCTCAATCAGCTCCGACGCAAAGCCCTGAGCTACATCATCCGACTTTTTATCACCAATTCTCATCGGAGGGCGGCCTTGGAAGCCGCTGTGCTGTGATCACCTCTGAACCCACGGACTCCTCATGCCTCTCTTTATGGTCCTTCAAAATGCTCTTATGTCCCTTCTTAATCCTGTTGTCATATGCAATGACCTCCTCTTTGCCTCTGTTTAAGCATTTCATTCTAAGTGATTCATAGTGTTGCAAGCTCTACGTACTGCTGTATCAATCCATGTCGTTTGAAACCGTCAGGACTGCTGTGTTCTTCCCTTTACCTTGCATATGGAAGGCTTTCTTCACTCATTGTAACTCCTTTGTGAAAGTGTGCACTGTTTTGTAATGGTTGTGTCTTCCCTGCGCGAGAGGAGACCGGATGGTTTGTTTATAAGGCCACATCCAAGTTGGTGTGCTGGAAGGGGTGGAATGGGAAGATGAACTCTTCCTACTGCGGACAGACTCTCCATTTGGTTGGCCATCGTTTTCGCATTTGACCACAGTACCTGACGTGTGAGCGATAGCAAGGCTGGCCATAGTTCAGCGCATCGTTCAAATGGGATGTGGGAAAGGGAAGCGCACAGGCGACTACTCTCCTGCCAGTGGTATTGACACCTCGTCACCAAGTTTCCCTCAAACATAATTTCGTCACACAGCTGTAAGACAATACCCAGATTAGGCTTCATTGCTCCCATGGTAGTGCAAGTGGAACCACCGCCACCACTGACACCGACCTTCCAGACAATAGCCGGCATCATGGTTCTCCGAGATTGGTAGACAAATACTAGAGCAGTAAATTTAACATCAACTCGAGGCCAAAATTGGCGTATGGACGAAAATGTCACCAGGCATTGCCACGGCTTGGTCGATCGTGCCATGCGCCGTCGTAAAAAGGTTTGTAAGGTCAACAATTCAAAAGTCGTTCGTATTATAGTCGTTTAATAACAGCCTCTGAAGGAGTGTGGAAAGGCGTTTCGGACGCTCTCCACCTTACTAGATCAGCCACTTCCCTCGGTTTCATCCATCTAGAGGTGATGTGGAAAAGTGCGATCACCCGCAGGAAGCTGTGAAGGCGTCCGTTTGTTAACAGGAGAGGGCGTGAGCATTTGTAACGCTTTTAGTGAGAAGTGGTGTTAAAGTTACTGTAAGAGGCGGGAGTATGGTACGTAGGGACAGAGAATAGAATGCGCATTCCACTACAGCGCACCTGAGATGTGATTGTTGGCGACGTTAAGTTGGGATTTGAATGCATTGTCACAGATCGTGGGTGGAGTTACTCCTTATTCGCAACGAAAAGCACTTTAATTTGCTTGTCTTTGGCGGAGAGGTAGAAGACAAAGACAGGTGTCCAACCATGCAAATATTCTGTTACTTCCAAACCTACTTTTTTGAAGCCCAAGGTGAGCACAGTGGAAAATGCATTGCAATTTCTCTCACCCATTCCATCCCATTTGCATTGTGCATGGGAAAATTCACTAATTCAAAAATTGATGGAATTTTTACTAGCAAACACTAAGTAGTCGAGCATCCATAACTGCACGTGCGCACAAAAGGGAAATCGCCTGAAGTATGAAATATAAAAATGTCACCATTAAAGATGTTATCAATTATTATGACAGCAAGAATGCGTTGCCTCAAAAATGCATTGGCGGCTGAAGCAGTTCACTATCGATCGTGCATGTTTGCTCCACATTCAAGAGCTGTAGATCCCAACGCCAAATTGTTGGTGAATATCAAAAGAGCTGAAAGAATAGATTTATGACTAGTTCAAAGTCATAGGCTAAAGTCGCCATCATCTGTAATATTGGGTTGTCGTGGGCATCAAGTGTTGCTGCATTCTTACATCACCAGACAGTGCACGTTGATGCAGTTCCCATCCACATGCTCGTTGTTGCGCTCCTTCGATGCTCGTTGGAGGTCTCATTCACTGGCAATTAGTACAACGCCTTCAGTGGTGTGCCTCTGGTTCAAACCTCGGCGACGACTGTAATGGGTGGTATTTGGGCAAGTAGTGCTTTGCAAGGGGAGAAGCAGGACCTGCATCCAAATGGCGTGTGGGAGGAGTGCGTGGACTAACTCGCATTCCATAGGGTGTGCCTCTATGGGAATGTCTAGCAAATCCTCGTCAAGTAATCCTCCTCGTAAGGCGGCTGAGATGGAGGGTGTGGAGAGTGGGGAGGAAGGAGGTGCATTGGTCGCAACGGCTACTACGTTGCCATTCATAATTTGTCCACTTGTTGTTTTAATTTAGGCACTCCAACCACGCGGAATGCAATTGGGAAAAGACACTACTTCGTTTGTCAACACCACCACCACCATCACCACCACCACCACCACCACCACCACCAGCATTCCTCTCATCTGGGCTACTGATGGGCTCGCAAATTGCACGACTTCGGCGCCATTGTAGGTAGGTGGGTGGAAACACTCCTAACTCGCCGTCCTCCTCTCACCAATCTCACCTACGTCCCCGTCCTCTGTCACCTCCACACCTGCGCCCCATTTGATGGTGCAGGCGAGAGGTGCTTGTGTCGGCACACCGGGTTGCCATCGAGTGGCATCAGCACAAGTGTAGACAACGGTGTCTTGGCGACAGCAGTGATTGTGAATGGCCATCACGCAGTATGGTGTGTGCGTGTGTGTAGCAGCCAACCACTCTGTGCAGTCGTGTATGCGGTGGTAGGCACAGCAGTGGTAGTGGTAACTGGGATGTAAGTGGATGGATGGATGGGGTCGGGGAAGGGAAGGGGGGAGGGAGGGAGGGAGGGAGGGAGGGAGGAAAGGATGGCAGTGTGAGGACAATTGAGTGGTGGTGAGACGGAGAGATTGGGTGGTTGGAGCTCAGCATTGTGACAATCAGGGCATTTTGGTTGCGGTAAAGTGGTTTGCGCTGACTTGACTCAGTATGACACGTTCTGGTGCAACCGGGCTTGGCATGGCTTGGTCCGACCGCCACCACGAAGAAGTTGGTTGGCAATGATGATGCCACGTGTGGAGGGCGTTTGTGTTGCTGTGACCCTTCGCAAGCAGTGAGTGGACGCGGTGGACGTCATTCCTAAGTGTGATGAAGGAGGACCCAAACCATTCCCAACGTAGTCAGGTGGATTTTCCCCTCAATTCCACTTT